AAAATAAACAATACAATTTATATTGTTTGAAGACTATGAAATTAACTCTTCATCTATTCAATAATAAAACCATTGATTCATACAAATTGGATCATCCCTTTTATGAAAACAAGTGAACAAAAAATACTTGGAAGATAAGCTCTTGAAAAAAAATGGGATCCCGTAGAATACTCTCTGATAGCACTCAGACACTAGACTAGGAACTACCGACCATTTAATTTAACTTAAGGCTTGGATTTAACCATTTTAAATTCTAGATAAACTCATTTGAACACTCAACTTGGGTCAGTCTGTTGAAGCCCATTGCTTTCTAAACGAAAATTCAAATTAAAAAGGCGAAATTTGATAGTTCATTTGCCGGAAGAACAGACGGGCTGCGATTTTCATATGACGTTAAGGATATGTCTCTAAAACACCATTAACCTTGCCTGACGATATACTTGGCTGCATTTTGAAAAATTACGCCAAAGTCATCAAATTGGTCCAGTCGTGTGGTAGCTGAATGAAGAAAATTTCAATCTTGTTTTCTTCGGTTTTATATGTTTTTGTGGTGCTGAATATGAATTTGAAGTTCTTGAATGAAACTTTCCATTGCGTTCCGAGATATATGCAAAAAAATAACAGCGAAATTTCCGCATTTGTTTTAGTTTTTTTGGATATTACTCCGAACAAAGTTAAAGAAAATAAAATTTACTATCAATTTTATCCATAGCTTTTTTATGTAGGACCAAGAGGTGAAATGTTAGAGCGTGTTGACTGTTACTAATTTCACAACAAATATCTGTTTTTTGGTTTTTCTTCAAAAACTCATAATCTGTGTAACCCTCGAAGAAATTCATTATAAAAAATTTGAAAGAGCATTAAATTTTCTATGTACCTTATGTAGAGGCGTTAATATGTGAGAAGGTTGAGCGGGTGTTAAAGCGCACGAAATTGAAGGTGTATCTGCCGCACTTAACTTAAGCGCTTTTTATCTTTTCAATTCTGTTGATTAAGCTAATTTTACAATATTCATAATAGAACTAGAATGTATAAACAAACTACATAGCTTTTATACGCTCTGTTGGCATGAGGGATATCAGCGTCCATATCAATAATCAAAAAATTAAGGACCGATCCGCGTTTCAAAGATCGAACGATCCAGCGACATTTCGCCTACTCTCATATTACGGATCTACAATATAAGCTTGAATTAAATTATATGTTTATCCAAATTCTTTTTGAGCTTGGGTATAATCGTTCATATACAAAAAGTTGAAAAGCCATTAGAGCGCTCGGAGTTGTGAGCGCATGTCGGTCCTTAGTTTTGTTATTATTAAGAATGTTGGTGTCACATACTGACAGAATATGTAAAAGCTACTTTATTTTTGTATACATTCTATTTGTTATAAATATAGTTAAGTTAACCGAATCAAAAGCATTGAAAATATAAAAAAAGCGTTAGTTGAGTGCGACAAACACTATAAGTGAAATACGTCTTCGATTCCGAAGACTCTGAGCCTGGAGTTATTTAGATTACAAAAACAGATGGAGTTACGAGGATTTTATTGCCTTCCGTCGATATAACAAATAGCGTTTTTGACAATTTAATGGTCTTAATGGTTTGTTAGCTGTAAGGTTTAAGCTTTATCTCGGTTAAAAAGCACTCCAAAAATTTTTTAATAGCCCAACATTGCCAGAAAATTAATTCTATTCCAAGTTGAGCGATAACTGAAAGATGTGCTACACGCGCACCAGATTTTTGTATTTGCTCCTCTGTTCGAATATGTCTAAAAATTATATTCTGAAAGATACTCAAATGCACATATTGCGCATTAGATCCTACAAGCCATTCTTAAACCTTTAGAACATATTTTGTAGGCAATAATAAGCCTAATCTATTTCTGCCTATCGTGGGCTATTTTTTTCCAGTTATTTCCATACAGCTCAACTGCATCTTAGTTTATTCGATCTATCTGCTTTCTGGTCTTCCACGTAGTCTTTACTATTGAGGAATTCATTGTCATGTTTGGCTTTCAGATGGATTGCTCCGAGCTACATGTCCCATCTTAACCTCCGTGCCTTCATATCATTGATTGACCATTTTCGGTAGCCAGCTGTTTATTGGTCTTTCTTCTCCATGTATTAGTACTCTAATCACAGATCGATCCGGTTATTGTGAGGAGATTTTTATTTTTTACTAAATTATATGTTCTGTAATTCCTAAATACATTCCAGGTTTATTTTCCAGACAAATCATGCGTATCTCGAATTCATGAATTCTATCCGTTTCTTTGTTTATGTTATGATACAAGACGATATATACAAGAATACATGTTATGAAGGAAGACGAGAGAACTGATCGCTTTTATTATTTTAAATAATATTATCTACGCGTATGTAGATAATTTAAATATAAATATGGACGTTCGTAAATTTAAAAAATACAGATAGTAAACAAAGATGTCTTATTTGTTATTGTGTTTTTAACCAGCTCGTTGTCGTTTCGACTTCTCTCTTAAACTTTAAAGTAATAAAGGGTCATATTTCATAGCTTTTTGGAATCCAATTAGTTATTGTTGAATTGCAAGACTTAGGCGTCAATCAATTTTAAGTATGTATAGGCCTTCTTTTCATGTAATTTTTAAACCTCACTCATATTCTTATATTCGTTAATACAGAACAAACCAAATTGATTTTTTTCGGATACTTAAGTGTCATCGATTTTACGAGTGGAAACATAAATGCACGTATACATGCACGTTGAATATGTACATATATCGGGAATTAGTTTACGTTCCTGATTTATTTTGTAATAACGATTTGGTAAATATGTAATCCGCAAATCTAAAACTCTTCCGGATTTTCGTATTCCGCATTCACTGATGATCAAAATTCGCGGATATTAAACTATCAAAAACGGCTTCTTTCCAAGATTTTATTGAAATCGTTACAAAGCTTATGGTTAGTCAATGGTCATTGTTAGTGTTATTGTGGGTAAAACTTATTTCACTTGGCAAAGTTAATGGGAGAAATTATAAGTTAATAACAGCTGTTCTTTGAGAAATTATGTTAAGATCAATTAATATTTTAATGAATGTTTCCTAATTTCGTTTCGACCATATATCACCATTTTAGATCCAGAGAAAAAGCAAATATATCTAGGGATGGCATATATATATATATATATATATATATATATATATATATATATATATATAGCCAAAATGAATAATTCGTAGCTTATTCAATCTCCCTTTACCTAAAATATACTTAATTATGATATTTATTTATTTTAATCAATAGAGTTAAGTATCATTTAGTTAAGAATTAAAGTTAAAACCAACCATAAATACGTTATTAATTATTTTATTTGACTAAATCGGTATGATTTAATAATGAATAAAAAAAAAGTAATGCGTTTTGTATAAAAATAACAATATATTTTACAAATATTATATTACACTATATTTAATCAGACTGTATTTACAGGGGCATCCGTTGTTCGTTCCATTGGTAGATCAGCGATCTGTAAATAATAAAAAAAATATTAATATAAATTATATTTAAATTGTATATGAATTGGTATTTTAATAATATAAAGTTTAATTGTTTTTCATTCCACCGCACTATAGGTCCAATATCAAATCTAGCGGAAAAAAATTCAAACCAATAATTATAATTTGTCGTAAATACTTGAAATACTTCGTTGAAATAGTTCGTGTTTACTTTGCTTACCATAATTCTAAGATTATCATTTATCTGAGAGTTTTCATTCAAAATCTTCCTAGGAGGAGGAGATAAGTAAATTTATTAAGTGATCAAGTAAAGTGATTAAGTGACTACTTGATTTTCTGAAGTGTCAATTAGGAAAGTTTATCATAGTTATTAATCTATAAAGGCTTTCATCCAATCTCATCTTGCTATCAGGTTGTAGTAATGAGTAAGTGTTATCATGCTTGACATTTATAATTACAAACCCCTTTTCTCCATTATAAAAAGTTTATTACAATGTATACAAAAGTAATTGTGATTTTGATTAAAATTCAGATCAAATTTTTAGAAAACCTTGTCAATCAGTTTTTATTTATTTTTTTCTTACACTCCGAAAAATATAATTTTATATGCATTTTAGAAACTTTGCCAATATGTGTCCCATTTTTCGGAAATAAATATTTGTTGTCAAGACTATAAAGACGTATTGTCCTCATAATCTTTCAATGAATTATTTTATATTTATGAGATGCAAAACCGTGATCTAAATATTTGTCATTTAGGATTAATAAGATTTTTTTTTCTGTATCCAAACGATATTTAATTAACACAATACATCAACACGACTAAGATAAAAAAAAGTGAAAGAAAAACTAGTCCGTCAAATTTATTCACTTGTATAAGCTTAAGAATTTTCTCTTAAAAGTTTTATAAAAAGATCGGCTGCAAAAAAACAGAGATATGACGGAAAGGCAACAGAATATTTCTTGACCCAATTAAGTTATCTAATGATCGGGAAACGACAGAGTTGTATAATAGGGCGCTTAAATTAATTGAAAAATAAACTGATATTTAATGTCTGCAAATATATTTAAAAAATATATGATCAATTTTGTATCTGGAATGATGTTGAAAATCTGTTATGACAAAATTTGCAAGACATCGACTGAAATATCATCACAAAAATTATGTTTGAGGAGCTATACCGAAAATCCGAATATTATTCATTATTGATTATTGTTCATCGATATGCGTTTAGTCTCTCCCCTCTAGATGTATAAATTCGATTTTTTAAGTATCTGTTTAGTATCAATATCAATCCAAAGTTAAGTTTAGACCTCTAATAACAAAGAAAATTAACTTCGTACAAAGATAATTTTTTCCTGCTAGATTTGAATTATGGTTCATAGTCTTGAAATCATACCACCAATTATAACTGTTTTTTTTTTTCGGAACGATTATTTGGAAAATAATTATTATTATATCTGTAATAGGTAAAATAGCGATTTATTGTCGTTGCTTACCGGTTAGTGGTGGTGATAGTGTCCGCCACCTCCATACGAAGTGGTGTGGTAGATGTGCTTAGTCTTGTAAACTGGTACGGGGACGGGGTATGGTTTGGGGACTGGGTAGGGTACCCTCTTGATAACTTCGATCGGATAGGGCTTCTCTACTGGAACTGGCACGTGCTTCTCAACTGGTACTTCGACTTTCTTCTCTATTGTGATTGGCACTGGTACTTTGATGGGGATGGGATGAGGGACCTGAAATTTTAATATGATTTTGATATTGTACTTAATTTTTTCCAAATCTTCTTAAGTTGGTGATTCCAGGAGAGAGACTTTGAATACCTTGATAGGGATGGGTACTGCCACTGGGTGCGGGATGTACTGCGCCACGGGATAGTGAACCTGCTTGTAGATCGGAACTTGGACATGCTTCTCCACTTCGACAGAATGGACGAGACCTCCTCCAAAGCCGCCTCCGTAGCCTGAGTGTCCGCCACCGCCGTATGAGCCACCTCCGTAAGAGCCACCTCCGTAAGAACCACCTCCGTAAGAACCTTCTCCACCGCTCTCAAGGCTATAAAATTGTTATTAATCAATTATCTACAGTTTAAAATATCTCAAGCTATTAATAATAAGATTTTATAATTCATATAATCATCTAAGTATACAGTTTTATTAACGAAATGTGTTATTTCAGTTTCTTAACAAAAATGTGTTAAATAAAATTTATGGAACAAGGGCGTTCCGAATGATTCGCCACATTGGGCTATCCATTAAATTAATTAAAGAAAGCAGAACTAATAGAATTCTCTGCTAATCAACTTTCTCCCTTGTAATTCTAACTGCCTGAGTGCGCGATTGATTTTAAGCAACCGCTGATTATGCTAAATCAGTTGACAGCCAAACATAGAGTTAAATTCATCAAGAATTTCAATTGATGTTATCCAATTTATTAATAATCATAAATTTCATTAAATTTATAAAATATTTTGTATCAAATCTTCTAAAGTACTTTTACTGTGATATGTCAACTTACCCTTCGTGATGTTCAAGTCCTCTTTCTGGTCGTTCCCCTGTGGCCGATACCAGCACAAAGTAGGCAGCGAAGACTGCTAGAATCTAAAAAACATTTTGACTGTCATCAATTAAATAATGGCAAATTATTTTATCAATACATATTCACCTGTTTGTCCTTGCTACGGAGATTGAGATTAATTAGAATGCGATCTTAAGGTTCTTCTAAACATCTGTTTTAGTTTTCGTGAGCTTGAAGTGAAGTATGTAATAACAGTTCGTAACGATATTAAGCTGTTCATTTTTGAGCTGTGCGTCCTCTTCGGTTCAAGTAATTTTTTTTTTTGTTATTAAGATTTCTCAATTCTTCATAATCTTTGTTATTTATTTGTCATAACATGTCCAGTTGAAAATTTTATTCATATGTATTTCTATGTCTGTTCTAAAGTTTTCATATAGTAAAAATAATTTGTGATTTAATGGAAATCAATCATAACTTTGCTCAGATAAATCCAAAAGTTGAAATTGAATTTATAGAATCAAATTATGGCCAATTTTTACCATGTTCTTCCTCGCTGTTACAGATTTGTCAAGTCAATTCTAAAGTGTGGTAATTTTTTAATCTAGGCGTTGTAGATGATCTCGTCATGAATCGGTCCCTGAGTGTGTACGTTAGATGACCTGTTAGTGGTTATTGTGCCTTTGGTACTTACCATTTGGTTCATGTTTGGAAGGTGTAGCCTGACTCTGGTTTGGAAAAGGTCCGCCCTCACTATATATACCAAGATCCCTACTATGGCTTTCTCCTCTTCCGCGACTTCTGCCCCTCGCTACCCCCTCCATCAACAAGTGTTGATCGACTTGTTCACTCGTACGTCTATTATTATATTCTTATTTCATGGAATAATATTATAAACAAGGTTTGAAATCAATAAATAAAAAATAAAATAAAAATCATATTTGATCAACATTTTTGAAAATCATTTGTCGATTTTTACTAACTGCAATTTTTATTTTTGATATAAACAGTGTTTGAAATCGATAAAAAAAAAATAAATAAAAGTCATATCCTGATCATTATTTTTCAACAAAATTTTTAAAATTAACAATAACAATAATTCTTGAGTAATACTTCTTGAAATCAGAAATATATATTTATTTCTAATATCTCTGATATATTTTGAGTCTGGAGTAGTAGGTGTAAATATTGTTGTCAACTATCAGCAACAGAACATCTTTATTTCCATAATTTATTTATTAAAGAAAATTTGGTTTAAAAAACACACACATATATATATATATATATATATATATATATATATATATATATATATATATATATATATATTTTACGTATACATGAATATTAATATTTAATTTAATTTTTGTATAAAAGGTGATCTTTGGTTTCTGATAAAAATATTTTGACCACAATTTAGTCATTATTATCAATGTAAAACCGTATCAGTGAGTGATCATTATTTTTAATCGCATAAATAAAAATCAATGATCGATTTAAATTTGTATTTATAAATCAAGCACGATTTTTAGATTAAAAAATCAAATAATCATTACATGATTTTGGAATAAAAACTAATTATCTATTTTAAAACCTGATTATAGAATTATTTTGATTTAAGTAATAAATTAGGCCTCCGAATTCTCGATCATAAATTCCATTTATAAATAATTCAATAATCCAAATTATCGTCAATTCAGGCATCAACAGTACATTATTAATTTTTTTTATAATATGAATTTTGTGAATGAAGGTACCTAGTATTGTACACCTGATATCGTACCTATATTCTACTACAGTTTCCTTCCCTTTGTCGTCTTTAAGAACTATTTTGAATTTTGGATTTATTTATCAATTCATTAATATTTTTTTTTATTTATACTATTTCATTACTCATATTCGACCTTTTAAAAACTAAGTAAAAAAATGTTATTATAAAATTATTTTCGTTTTTGATATATTAATTAATCAAATTATTTATACCCAATCAATCATTAATAACTACTAAAAATATATAGTGAGATCTAAATCATCTGGAAAAGTTATCATATTTATTTGAAAAATCAAATTCATCAACATTATATTATTTATTTAGTCTTATCCAAAACCTACTTATCTCTCAGCCTCTAAAAAATAGTATGACGAATACTATTATAAAAATATTTTAGTTTTTGAAATATTTATCAATAAAACTGCCTATAGACAATCATATATTTATATTTGCTAGAAATATTGTGCGATCTAAATTATCTGTAAAAAATTATCTTAGTTTTCTGAAACATAAAATTCATTAATATTATTTTATTTATGTATCCTTATCTAGTATTTACGTTTTAAACTCTTAACTTAACCTAACAATTAAGAGGACGGATACTTTTATAAAATTATTTTTGTCTCTGATATATTTATCAATTTTAATTATTTATAGTCACTATAAATATTATAAGAATTGAATTATCTGAAAAAGTTATCGTATTTATTTGAAAAATGCAATTCATTAATGCTATTTTATTTTATCATCCTAATCCTATTCCTTCTAAAAATTAAGAGAACAGAAATTGAAACCATATGTGTGTATCATTCTATTACGTAACAGAGTAGTATGCCTTTCGTTTGTGACCGCTAACCGCAAAAACTACTAACCCATCTGTACCCAATTTAAACTACATAACCTTCATGGTCTTTCTATGATCCAGCAATAAATAAAATGAAGTGCTGATTTCAGAAATCATCAGTCCTATCGATTTTTCTTTCCTATTAGACAGACCATTTATTAGGAAAGGTTTAAAAAAATTAAGCTACGACCTATAAAAAATACGAACAAGGATATAATTGGCTATCTCACTAACACAAGTTCCTGTAACTATAAATAAAATCAAGGACAAACTATTAAACAAATTGGAGTAGACTTAAGTGAGGACAATTTTATCCATAAACAAATATATCTGTGCCACCTGTGAAAAGTGTGTTAAATGAAATTTTGTTTATTTTTATTGGTATGACTAAAAATCTAATTTCTCTCTCTTTTTATCTATTACAGAGATGAACATTCCTTTGCAAATAATGAACTGAAACACGAAAATTGAACTTGTGCCTTTGTGAAATTTCAAACTTTCAATTGTGTTTTTCCATAATACGATTTTAATAGAAAACAGACTATGCACAGGCACCACAGATATGTAGATTAGGTTGCGGAAAAAACCATTATGTATACGTCAGAAATAAAGAACCAAAAATATCGTTTTCGATGTGTTGTAATTTTCCTTTAAATTGTTTACAACAGGGGTCTCAAAACTACGGACCGCAAGCACCACCAATCCAGCTCCCAAAAATTTCTTTGATAACATGTCAAAATATGAAATTTAGTTATCTCTCAAACTGCAATATTTATTCCATGAGTTGTTTCTCTTATAGAAGGCCCATATTACAACTATAGTGTCACTTATGGAACAAGCTTAGTTGAGATCTCAATGCGGCATTAGTGAACTTCTGAATGCGGCTCGCCTGCCAAAAAAAAAAGAAAGATTTACAATATTCATAAAGAACAGAATAAGAAGTAAGGTCGCAACCAGAGAGAACCAAGAAGGCTACTTGTCCGGGTCGGTAAGACTTAGAAGATGATATATTTCGAGATTTTTGTTTTTGTTTAGTGCAACAAAAAATCTTGTTCGCACATCACACACAACGTTCAGTTTGAACAGAAATTCTTATATATATTCTCAGCTTCCCGTTGGAAATCAGAGAATATAAATCATAGCTGTATAACATATCGTTTTATATTATATGTACACATTTTGCATGTTATTTTCGAAAATTCATTTTCAAGTTAAAAAAATTTTGAAAAATCGGCATTGAGGCCTTGTCAGGGTGGATCGATAAAAGTAAAACCTACCTTAAGTTTATAACCATTTAATAATACCTTTTATGTTTAATCAAAATGGTTAGAGCCGTTTTCGAGAAAATGGATAAATGTGTTAAATCGACCAAGTGCCACCACCTCCGGTTAGTCAATTTTGTCGAAAAATGTATATAATATCCCTGATATATACTAACCTTTAGTACGGAATTTCAGTTTCGAACGATTTTTCATTTTGGAGCTGACAAACACACACAATGCACACAAAATTTTTTTTTTTTTGCGACACTTGGTTATTTTGACTCAGGGCATCTCAAGACGTGTACTATCGTTGAAAACATGAATTCGTTCATGATTGCAATACTTTCCCTTACTATATATTGTATTTCATACATAGGTAAGTGTGGCAAGAGTTTAAATAGGTCAAATAGTAGTACCACGTTCGTGCTAATCTAATTATATTATATCTAGTGTTTCTTGTGTTTATTTTCTCGTTTATATATTAAGTTATAGTTCAATATTTTTTAGCAAGTATGTGAGTCATTTATTGGTCAATATGCTCTAGTCAGTTTCAGTTGTTTTTTTTATGTGTTTTGTTGTTATAGCTTAGTTATTGTGAATAGCGGGGTTAAAAGTGGGACAATTTTTTTTTTCTACTCTTATACAGATTATTATCTTATGAACTGTGCTAAAGTGAGGAGAGAAGACCATAATAAGCTCTGGTGAATATATTTTTGGTTACTTGCTTGTATAGGTGCAAATTTAATAAGCAGATAGAGTATTCTGTTCTTATTTTTATCTCGAGGGATTTTTTTCAGTTTGTGCAAGCCCTAATAAGACATTTAAAAGAGTAATAAGAGATCCCATTGAAGATAAAAAAATACAATCTCTAGGTTGATAAAGTATTTTATTTTGGTTTAAAAGTGGAAGGTTATAGGTTGGAGATAAAGTTATCTTAATTACAATCAACTTTAATTTCTATGGACAATCACGAGATGGAAGAGGAGCAGAAGGACGGTAATCTCTCATGAGCTGCGCAAAAAGACCTCGGAGTGGCTGTTACCATTTATCAGGTGATTTGAAAGGGACCACTACTAATAGCCAACTTCATCATACTGAAGAAATACAGGGTAGCATCTCGATGGCCATTGAAAACAATGGAAAAATTTATGCTCATTAAATTTTATGCTCATTTAAATACTCCGAATTACTGAAATTCGGGAAAAGAAAAGTAAAAAAATGGAGTCTCGGCTCCTGTTTAAAAGGCATTTTCGGACACTCTTTCCTCAGGAATGGTTCTCGATGTATTAAAGCAATTAATACTAAATAAATCTCCACCAAGAGTTGTCGAGGCACTCTCTACTTTAAGTATGACACTTCATCCACAATCGACCAAAACTAACACCTCCAGGGAGCCACAGACACAAGCAGAGAAAAAACATCAATCAGGTTGGACCCTCGGCTGCTCCTGAACTCTTTACGGTGATGGTAATTAAAAGGAACAATAGGAGGAACAAGACTGCCAGCAAAACAGATGCCGATTCAAAGGATAATCTAATGAATAAAGAAGATATAAAACATAAATCAATAGCAGGATTAGTAAAAATCTTACCATATAAGCCAAGAAACGGATTTCTTCTCTTAAGTTGGATCGAAAAACGGATTTACCAAGAATTTGGTGGTGAAAATTCACCCAATAGTTAGGTTTCAACTTCTAGAAATAGGAAGCTTAGAGGGAGGATGCTGGTCGATGATCTTCAAGGATTATATTGACGCTCCAGGATGCCCGAAGTGTCAAGGCTACTGGCACACTAAGGCAACATGCTGGGTAGATGTCTTCTTCTGTATCTGGTGTGATACTGTTGGCTAAATGCTTATGGATCGCCCTAAAAAAAAAAAAAAAAAAAAGAATTAGCTGGCCCAACTTGTATTAGCTCCGAGGCTTTTTTTTATATTATTTTCTACCTC